AAGTAGGCTAAGAGAAAAGGTGGGGGGAGGAGGAGGGAGCCGTACGATAACTGCAATCGTCCGGCCGGCAGACAGCGTACAGCGACAACTTTTGCCAGCGTAAATAAAATGGTTAATTAATGCCTTCCTAAAGAAACCATCGAACTGGGACCAGGTTTGTTCTACTCTACGAATTTGTTTGCGATTTTTCCACCAAGTTTGATGAAAAACGATTGTGCCGTTTCGGCTGCCCAGAACAGACACACAAACAGACACACGCCTAGTCCTATAGTATATTAGATAAGAATATCATCAGCATAGCTAACAATAATATTGCTGGGGCTGTTTGGGATTGACTTTAATAATGTGTCCATAAGAATATTGAACAAAGTAGGACTAAGTACTCCACCTTGGAGTGGGGGTGGGGGGGGTTGCCAAGCTGCATATCTTTAACTTCGCTTTTGTAACCCTGAAACAGTGCAGCAGCTCTTCTGTATCCATTTTGGCTAGTTCGTATAATATAAGTGGTGTATATATGCCTTTCATTCCCATGCTCAGTTAGGAATGTGGTGATTCAATTATGTACACCTTTACCATGAGTGAAGCCATATATGTTCTTTGATTCTGTATAAGAGTCTGCCAAGAACCATCCATTCAAAGGTTTTGCAAAGGTAGCTGGTTAGCCGTGCCGGATTTAGACCTGTGGAGGCCCATGGGCAGCCTCTTTGTGGAGGCCCCCCTCATTATAACTACGCAAGAGGGAGGGGTGGAGAGTGAAGCGAACCTAAACATCTGGGAGTTCTGGGGGGCGTTGTAAGCCCCCCCGGAAAATGTTGAAATTTGAACACTTGTTTGGAGAATTTTGAAGCCATATGCAGTTGTATTGAGGAAATTAGAACATTGAGAAATTTTTAATTAACTTTATATTTATAGATAAACATGAATTTTAAAGAATGAAAATAAAAATAATCCAAATGAATAAACAAATAAATAAAATATTGTAATATGTGGAGGCCCCCAGATTGTGGAGGCCCCTGGGCAGCTGCCCACCTTGCCCACTCCTGAATCTGGCCCTGCTGGTTAGTGATATGGTGTATTAGCCCCTTAACCATTGATTCTTGAGGGGTTAATGGGCTAGGACATGTAAAAGTATTTAGGGTTTTTAGTAGCGAAAACCCAACTGTCTCTTCTGTATTTATTTAGAAAATATATAGTTCCAAGTGTATATCACCGTAACTTAATCACTGTAGCTATGAGTGTTAAATGAGGACGGAGACTATATTAAATAGCACTTCTAAAATACGTCCTGTTGGTGTGAGGGGTTGAGTGAGAGTGCCTGCAGTAGCCGGCTTCTATGACCTGACCTAGCATTTTAGGGCCTCCTCTCAAGGGACTTACCCTTCAAGTGATGTGACCATGTCACCTCATAGCCAGTGGAAAGTCACAGGGGGTGATATGATTATATAAACTCAATGCACTGCCCAAAATCTATATAAAAACTAAGGGGCTAATACATCGCTCGGTCACCACCTTCCGAGCTTCCACGTGGGATTAACTAGTCTCGTAGAATACATCCTATACATAAACCTAACCATGTTACAAACATATGTGTAGACACTAAACTGGGGACTCTGGAACCACTGGTTCACTAATTATTGGGGTCCTAGGCTTAAGTGTCTTACGGGATAGCATATTATGTGCAATGCTCAACTTGGAAGATACTGAATTATAATAACGAAAGAAAAATATCACTGACGTAATTAACACAATAGCGGGAATGGTTAAACTTGGTATTGCAAATTCCCGTTGGAAAAGAAAATGGCACATGATCTTCTAAATTAGCAAACTGTGACTCTTTCAGGTAAGAAACAACTTTCAACTTCTCCGAGACAATATTGAGTTTACTAATAATTAAATTAGGAACTTGATGCAATGGAATTAAATCTGAAGTGAGATTTAATTTCAATGCAAAATGCTGATGAGAATGCAAGGTCTTCAATGAACTACAGGTGATTTCACAGTAATCCGGAGCCTTATAATAACCTTTCAAAACGAACTGTTTACCACCAACTTGGCACTTTAAAATGACGTTAGTTTCATCAGGAAAGAAAAAATATTGCACATTATGCAGATGCTCATGAAACACAGTTTTTCTAGAAACCGGTGTATAACTACAGGTACATTGTGTTAGCGCTGTGTGTACATTAGTTTGTATGACCGCCAATTCACATATCCCTTCTGCAGCAGGTATAAATGTGAATACATAGGCTGGACATACGTGTCCAGCCATGATAATACCCTAGGATCATCCCATGCTAGCAAGGTATAATCTTCATCAATTAGCAAAAATTACCATAGCTACTGTGTATCCTTCCTAAGCTAGGCAGAAATAGACTACTGTATGTTTAATATGACTATATATTTTGATCAATATATCTAATTCAGTTTAGGTGCATTCATTCAGTAACAATAACTTCATTGTTGCAATGTTCATCACAAGCATATGGGCCTATGCACTTTAATTTTGCCTTTGAACATTTATAATTCCCTCAACATGCCTTCTGGCAACTACAGTGAGTAAGTTCAGATATCAGTTCATGTGGCTGATCTAAATCTGTCTAGTGTGGAACCCATCCTGCTTTATCAGTGGGTTTTTTCCAACCCTATCTTCTTGGCTCGAGTAATCGAGGATCACCAATGAGTTACTGTGCCCATACATAGCTTGATACACAGCTCTCAAAATGTGCAGTTTAAGGGCAGCTGCTGAAGGAGACATCCCTTCTGATGTGCCTGAGTGTTTGGCAAACATTATTTTCCTTGCTGTATTGACATCCATCAAAGCTGAAGTTTGATCATACAATATAACTACATATCGTGTAAGTGTAGACAAACTCAGTTGCAACAAAATGTCTGGTTGAAAGGACAGTGAGATTAAAACATCGGTAAGATCTGGAAAAACTGACCAAGTGTCCAAACATGTCTTCTTGACCTTCTTTGCAAAGAATGAAGTTGTGCCACAGCCGAATAAAGCATGATAAAGACGTAGAGGCTTTGCCTTTTCACTCTCAAGGTTGTTGTTGACAATGTCTTGGATTGGAATATATTTAAAATGATTCCCACTTCCAAATGTTATCCACAGTTCTGAGATTTTAAGCTCTTCAAATAATGAAATTGCTATAACCACCACATCGGTGTCAACAGCTGTGATGGCTACTTTTTGATATCCACATGGAGCCAAGTTTTGTACATACAGCAACATTCTGGAATCAGTTTCTTCTGGTGTACAAATGCTAAATGTCCTTTATGTATTCAATACTGCATGGTGATACAACTGATTCATTAAAAGTGTTGCAAATTATGATTCCAATTTCAGTGTTTTTATTAAGATAGTTTGCTCTCAGAAAGTCATTCCAGTGTGATGTGTTTGACTCAAGGAAGAACTTTCCGAGTTCCACATCCTTGCTTACTCCTGGCACCCGTACACCTTTAGACTGTTAATAATGTAAACATCTCAAATAATAGCCACTGTTATCGCCGCTGGCTTATAAATGCTGGTGTCAGTTGTTGACAATCGCTGCCTTGATCGAACAAACATTGGATCTCTCAGCGCCCCCCACCACGAGGCCTGTTGCCTCGTGAGATGTGGCGACTGGGGAGGGGGGGTTTAAATTTCCCGCTGAAGGTAAGGGTGACGTGGCTCTCATGACACAGATCGCCCTCTCGAGTGATGCCCCCACGCGACCTGTGACCTCGGCAGATGCGGCAGGGAGGCGTTTAGCGCCAGCGTCAGTGTTGGCACCCGGGGAGTGTTATCACCGCTTGCGTCAGTACTGGCAAGTGAGTATTGGCGTGTGAGTGCTGGCGTTTGCTGCCCTACCCGAATAAAGATTGGGGGGCTGGGCGGTGTTTACGGAGAATGGTTTAAAAAGGTGGCGTGGCCGCCTGGACTCCAGGAGATCGCTCACTCGGGTGATGCTGTGAGGACCAGCCCTCGAGTTATGCTGTAAGGAGCAGCCCTTTGCTCGCACTGCTAACACCACACAATCCTGTCCAAGAATTTGTGCTGAGACAATTTACACAGTACTGTTGTCTCTTGGAACACCATACTGATCTGCATTGACCCGCACATGTAATGCAGCATAAGTGAAGACATACCCCTCGGTACTGAAACATTGTTGACTAATTACGTCTACTGTTTCTGCCTAACTTGGAGTAATAAGACAATGCAGAATGAAGCAAAGCTAAGATTAATAGAGTTATGAACTTTGTGTTATGTCACTATACTCAATAATCAATTATAATAAATTGTGTGAGGCTAACTAATTATGTATCAGATAGATCACCATATAATACTAATGAACGCCTTGTTCTCTGCAGGTTTTGACCACATCAATAAATATTGAATGCGTCAACAGGCGGGTTTCAATCATTCCCTTTGACTTGCCCGTCACCTGAACGTCCTTATTCCCAAGGCGTTTATAGCCACTCTTTTATTTTATTGTTATTTGAAGGTCTCTCACAACATACTGTATTGCCCAAATGCATTCTTTGCATAGTCGGAAAATGTCATGCCAGTTGCAGGAGTTATCAATGCAGTACCATCCATAAAATTGCCTGCACCACTGATACAACATTCACCTAGCTCATACTCAAGACATGAAATCAAATTGTCTTTGGTCCCACTTCTCAATGTGCAAGGATGGAAGCCATGGATGATTTTCATATTTTAAATAAAAAATAAAAATCTTCCAAATTGCCTTCATGGGTCTGGCATGCAATATACAACTGACAAAACAGTACACGATTCTTCTTGGGTGCCATGACATGGCCGTCAAGCTTTGATTTACATGTACATTGTACAGTAGGTGCAGTTATGAAGAGAGACAGCTTGTTCTTGTTAATTGGATCTGTAATGAGTTTTCTTCAGTTGATGAATATTTCCTTCACAAATTCATCATACTGTACGGTACCACCTGCCTCCACGTCCTTCACACATTCAACTGTTTCTTTGGTCATTACAGCTTTGGATTCAAGATCATACAACTCACCACTGTCTTCGTCAAAGGGATTACCAAGTACGTCGAAAATATCAACCAGTTTCAACGCTTGCTTTCGGAAGGTAACCTGTACATGTTTAACTTGTTCATGGTGTCTGCTTCCATAATTAAAATGTTCCCCTAGACCAGTAACTTCCTCATACTCTTGGACCATTCTTGCAATTTCTGGCCCAGCTATCATCCAGCGTCTGAGGGCTGCTGGGTTTTCTGTGAGATCTATTGGCCCTCCGTCTCCCTTTTCAGAAGCATTTAGCTGTTCACGAGCATGATCCAGTGCAATATTTGAAAATGTTTTTGTTTTTTTATTCACTGTAAATGCACCAGCTGAAAAAGCCTAAAAATGCCTGGGTGCATTTCAGTCAGTGAACTCATGTCTCGTTTATGAACAGATCGCCACTGAGAGTAATTTACAGTACGTGATTCAGTCCTATAACCAATTTAGGAAAGGAGATATGGCCACTTATAGGTGACAGTAGCAGCCATTTTGGATTTTCTTAACTGCTAGCCAAATAAGGAATTTCCTGGCTTGCATCCTTATCAGAAGTTGTTCTATTCAGAAAACTCTGCCAGATTTCATGCTTCTAAAAAAAGGTGAACATTTATCGTGCTTAACTACTAGACTAATTACATATAGCTTTACTAGGTATTGCCGGGTACAATTGTAAGTATAAGAGCCAGGGTGGAGTCGATGGAATTTGGGCTAACTGTACTGCACTGTGTACATGATCGTGAACATTTATGTCTGACTGCTCGTTTGTACATATTTTTTTTTACTAGCTTTAACAATATTTTAAATTAATAGGTACTGCTGTGGCAGGAGTGAGGCGTAATGGAGACTATGTACGAGTTGTTGAGGAACTACGTGGGTCCCCTGGTGATGGTAGTGACGACAACGGTGGGTGTGCAGTACCTGGCGGAAGTGGGAGGTGACAACGCTCCCACCTCCTGGAGCCTTGTGGGGAACCTACATTCCTGGACTGTGGTGTTTCTCACTCTCCTGTGGGCGCTGCTCTCACTCTTGGTACGTCCTTCTACTGTCACTAACCTGATGTTCCTTCCCTGTGTAGGTGTCGTCATTTCCACTACTTAGGTGACACTATACTTACCACGCGATGCTTGGCTCGTGGCTTAAATCCTTGAAATAAAAATCAAAGTTTATTTAGTCTGAATACAGATACACAGTGATCAACAACAACAGCAATATTTACATACCTGAACCTTTCGATTGATGTAACTGTTTTGTAAAGCACATGGTAAACATTCTACATTAATTTAAAGAAAATTATTAAATAACTAGTGGATTATATGTGAGTGTGTGCATGGCAAGTGAATGGTCTGTTGTCGTGAGAGTTGCATGTGTTTGTATCGTTGGTGTAATATTTTGTTTTGTTTTGTTTTCAGTATCTGTATTGCCATTTGCAGTTTCGTGGAATATGGAGTCTTTGAGCTAGTCTGTGGTAAAAGGAAGTATATTTTATATTATCATTAGAATACTTGTTTTGACTACAGGTGCTCTATATGAATTTGCTTCTAGTCTTGATTCATTTACGTTAACATCTTTCGGATCACCAGAAGATTAACCACCTTAACGCTACGCTCCTTGGGGGGTTAGGTTAAGTTAGGTTAGTTTAGCGTTACAGTGTTTAATTTAAGGGTGAAATAAATTGGGTTGCTAATCTTCAGGTACTCCAAATTTTTCTAGTTTTATATGTGGGTGAGGGGGGGGAGCTGTAATGTCGTAACGTATGGGTTGAAGGATCAATCTTATGTAGGAGACTTAGTCGAAGGGTGAAGGGAAGAGGGGAGAAATGTGGACTGAGGAGTGGCATGAGTCTGGAGAGACATGAGTGGGAGAGGAGTGGAGGTTAACAGGGTGAGGTTGATTAGTAGAGGAACTGTAAGAGAGGAGAGCTGGAGGTTGAGAAGTTGGCGATGGTGAGAATGATAGAGTCCAGTAGGGGAGGTCTGGGAGTAAATAGGGATCGACTGCACTGCGTTGGGTGATGATCTTTGTGTTGGGTGTCTGTATTAACGAGGTGGTAGGTAGAAAATACATATTGGCTACAGGTTGGCGTTCGGGATGAGGAGTAGTTATGTAAAGTATTGTGGAGACGGCTCTCTGGTGTGTTATGAATAAAAAGTATTGAAGGTATGTAAAGAGAGGTGTTGAAAATATTGAAAGGTTACGAATAACTTAACATCCACGACACAATGTTACTACCCATCTCATCGTATAGTAAGTCGGTGTGAAGGATTCTGTATTGTACAACTGACATAGAACAGAAAAACATGGGTCGAGTGTAGGGTAGGAGTGAGGGATGACAAAAGGACTCGAAACACCTCACACCATAAGAAGAAGTATGGTTTAGGATTTTCTGGTGTCCTGTCGTATATTGTGTTCTAAGCGACTGTACAGAGATATTGACCTATTGTACTGCTGTTATGATTGAGTGATTTTAGTGTCTCGTAAACTATTGTTTTGTGTGTATTCATGTGTGGTGTATGCTGGGCGGGATACTCAAAAGTGGTAGAAAGTTATGACCTGCAGGATGGGCGCTATTGATATTAGACTATGGAAACTGTGACCTGCCTACGATGTCCGTTATGACCGCATCCTCAAAAAGAAACTTATTACGTCATATGTTGTAAGTCACATCTTGACCACGAAGTACGATACAGTCAATGACGTCAAAGTCGACGATCTACTTCACGGTCTGTCGAACAATCCCAACACAGTTGTCATGGTTTTGGTTTTCGTGGTTGTGTAGGAGTGGATTATATTATAGAAAGATAATAATATGTCGTATTTCTTACCGTAGAGTTCGATACCTTCACACTGATTACTTACAGGAGATTATGGCGTATCTACGTAGAAGTTCACTCCACCACTCGACATTCCATGATTTATACTTGATAAATGATGATTTAATGAATTCCATTAATTTCCAACATCCATCTAAGTTATTGGTTATATTTTGTCATAACCAACCAGTCATTACCTTTAGTAATAATAAGATAGGATCGCAGATACGGGCAGATAATTGCACTTACATTTATTTGTCAAGCTTCCATACAATGATTTACAATTTGCATGGATATATGAGTCACTCACGTTCACGCTGTAATATAATTAATCTTCTAAAAGAGGGAATTTTCAACTTGGGAACACATGTGATTACTCTACTATGGGTATGACTTAACAGAGCCTTAATTCTTCAAGTGATACATTTACTGCCAGCCTGGATTGCTCTTGTTGCAACCAGGCTTCATCACAAGAACTTCTTCCCACGGCCATAACAACAAAAAGGTACTCTTGGGTTACCACACATAGTCTTGCGTCACTGACAGTCACTGTAGACGGTTGTCGCGGCAAGGAGAACGTGTAAGCATGACTTGAATTAACCATTTAGGTGCAATAGACCAGCCTGGATTGCTCTTGTTGCAACCAGGCATCCACACATGATATTTCCACGGGGATAATAACCTAGGTTAACACACTTAATCTCGTGTCGATGACGGTCCACAGGATGGAGTGGCGGTGGAGGACTCTGTGTGGTGTGGTGTCCTGCTCCCTTTCAGGAGGGAGAGGATGGGGACGACGTCTTAAATAACCCATGGCCGTCAGGATACTGGCTTAAAATAAGGTTTTTGACTGTGAAGCGATGAACAGTACAACTCTGTCTCACTGACCCCCCCTAAAGGTTGGCTAACATACCACTAATGGAAAATATATGTCCCAGTTATGCCTCGCCGGGTGCCTTATCTCTAGTAAAACAAACTTTGGAGTTGGTTGCGTGGGTAAACCTAACGCAACCCATGACAACAGTTAACTACTGGGGGCGGCTACTCAGCCAGTCGTTGTGCAAATTGAAGTTAAAACTACTCTTTCCCACATGGTATCTTCCGTTCTGGACTTAACAGCCTCGTTCTGATCTTTACAGGATTCCTTTCAGGACCTACAGTAGCTACATCTCTACGTACAATTTCCCGTGTGAGGCAGAGAATTAATCCTGAATAATCAGTGTATAGTAAAGTTGTCCACAAAAGTTATAACTCTCTCAGTCCCTGTAGATTCAGTTGCCTCTGAAGACGTCTTGAATAAAGACGTAAGCTAAGGTGCTCCATTGTTTCCCTTTTCCAATGTGGTTTGATCTATTTATATATATATATATATGTATATATATATATATATATATATATATATATATATATATATATATATATATATATATATATATACTATGCAAATAATTCACTGTAGGTGCGCGTGATCCATATATATGCTGATAACCACAAGGAAACAAGAAAACACGAAGTTCCCAAGTGCTTTAGTGTAATTCACATCTTCAGGGGTGAGTACAGACTAAGGAGTAATTATTGACAAGACTAATATATACAGTAAAGGAGGGTGAGATCAACAGGGACAGTAGGTGTCCACCATATTCAGGTAACAAACCCTGTAAATCACAAAATTGTTCAGTTTGTACATGCTATTACTCAAATTCATGTTGACAGATTCAGTATGTTTAATGACAATTGAATTACAAGGTAATATTGAGGAGGCATTATTCCAGTCAATGCAATGTTTATTATCTCTCATATCAATGAACAGAGCATTGGAGTCCTGGCCTGTCCTTTCACTATATTTATGTTGTTCAGGTCTAGTTATAAGATCTTTTCCCGTCTGGCCTATGTGGAACATATTACATTCCTTGCAAGGAACCTTGTAAATGAAGCCACCTGCATTGCTGAGGGAGTTCTTAATTAACATTTGTTTTACAGTGCATCAGTCACCAAATGTTACAATTACGTTCCATGTTTTCAGTTGTAGAGGAATTTGAGAGAAATTTTTGTTAAATGGTGAAACTAGGAGATTCTTACTGTCATGGGAAGGCTTAGGATCAGTTCTGTAAAAAGATTTCTTAGCGATGTTAAGACATTTGTCTAAAAAAGAACTAGAGTATTTTAAGTTCAAACCAATATTATAGATACATTTATATTCCTCATCAATGAATTCCAGACTGCCTATTCGTAGAGCAAAATAATAATGAATATATGAACACACATTAGTAGGTTTCCTATAAATACGGAACTTAAAGGTGTTACCTATTCTGTGGATCAGACAGTCTAGGAATGGTAATTTGCAGTCTCTCTAATTCCACAGTAAATTTGATCGCTGGGGCTAAATTGTTAAGTTGTGGTAGAAAGGCTTTTAAGTCCTCATTACATGGCCAAAGACATATTACATCACCTACATATCTAAACCAAACTGCTGAAGGCGTAAAATATTACTTTGTAGTTTCTTCCCCCAAAATTCCTTTATAAGTTGCTCAACACTGGTTAAAGCGGATTACCCATCGCCATTCCAAATATTTTAGCATAATATTCTCCATTGAATTCAAATTTACAATCCTCAATACACAGTTTGATAAGTTCGATGAAAACATTTTTTGAGACGGGTAAGGGAATATTCACCCTGGAATCTGTGAGGAACTCAAGCAAATCAACTACTGGGACCTTTGTAAAGAGTGATATTACATCAAAACTGACCAGTTTAAAATCATAATTAAATTGTAAGTTATTGAGTTTGTCAGCTAAATCCACAGTACTGTATTCTTGATATTAGAGTTGATCTGTTGCCAACTAGGGAGTTTAGTAAAGAAATTAACAATTTAGACAACTGAGCTAATAATGGGTCTTGCTGGGTTATTTGGCGAGTGAGTCTTGCTAAGACCGTACATGTATGGCAGTGAAGGGGACATTGAAGAAAAATGTTTAATAAGATTATCTTCACCTCTCAACGGAGACCTAAGTTTTTTGTTAAACTGAGTGTTGACTGTGTTGAGAGGATTGTGTATGAGCTGAGAATATGTTGCACCATCACAAAAAATGTCATTCATTTTAGATATATAATCATCTTTTTTTTATTACTACTGTGTTGGCTTTATCTGTTTTAGTAACATGTAAATCCTTATTTTTCTTAAGGGTTTGGATTGCTTTGGTAAATCTTTCCGGAATTTG